ATCGTAAATGAGACACACACACATTCACAGCACTTGAGGTGTTTTAAAATAAAGAACCGATTCTCCCCAGCTGGTGTACCTAGGTTCATGTGCATACCTTTTTCCTTAGCTTTTTGACTGCTATTTCATTGTCTGGGGCCTGCTTCAGGACTGCTTTAATAGTCCCCTTCCAATTGAATTTACCTACAATACAAAGAATAACATGCATGTTTTGTTGTACTACCAGAAGGGAAAGGAAATGATTTCTGCAACATCTACTTGCTGCCGGGAAATGAATGAATTCTGAGTGGGCAGGGTACCATAACACTGTGGAGCAGGCACTCGGCCTGTCCAATCACAGTAGCCTAAAAGCACCGCTTCCCTTCACCGTTCTTCTTCTCAGAGTGAGCAGGTTAACCAGGCAACATAAACACCATCACCACTACAAATTCCTGTAAAAAGATAAGAGTTGCTTCGAAGGACCTCAGCAAGATTCACTCAGCATCCACGGAGATCGTGGGGCTGAGCACAGTGAGCAACACAGAGGTGAGCGAAAGGAGCTTAACCTTGAACCAGAGGGGACAGCCACAATATCACTGCACATGGGCGACAAGATCCAAAGCCTTCATGTGAATCTATAATCACCTCAAAGTAAACCCTTTAAAAAATTAAAGTTGGGGGGTGAGTTCCAAGCTAAGAGATCTAACCCAACGTGGGCAGTCACTGAACCTCCATCAATAAAGCCTCGCTTCCCATGAGTCCTTGGATCTCCTAACTGGCAGGACCCCGGGGGCAGCTTCGGGCCTGAGGAACGGGAGCAGCTGTGTGGAGGAGGCAGCCTGAAGAGGCAAGGCCAGGGACTGGATTCTGACAAGGACACATGCCAGCCGAGGGAGTGGGATGGCATGGAGTCGAAGCAAGGAGGCACCAGGGACAGACCCAGAGACAAGAGGGGAACAGCCAGGTCTGGCTGGAGGACAGGAAGGGGACCGGGACTTGGAAAGCACACGGGTTTAAGTTCCAAAGATAATGCATACTTCCAATCCAGACTGCTTTCCCCTTAATCCTTCAAGCTAGACAGACACACTGTAGGAGTGACTCAGTCCTCGTGGGTTACTTTGGAGTCACTCCCGCCCTAGAGAAATTTGCTCACCTCCTCCTCCCACCCCAGAGGGCAGAGCTTTCCAAATGACACAAGTGATACCTTTTGCAGGAGCTTCATGGTTTTCTGGTTCTCCGCCTGCAGCCAGTCCCGGGAACTTAATCTTTTTCTTCTTAGAATATGCTTCAGCTAAACAGAGATTTTTAAAAAAATAGAGATTTTGCATTCCTGACATCTTCTACACTTAATGCATCCTCCATGGCCAGCCCCTTCCATCACCTTGCTCATCCCCCAAGCAACCCAGCCTGTGGGGTTTCTCCCCCGGACAGTGGGGGGACAGTGGGGGAAACTGGGAGTTGAGAGGTGAGGCCACTTGCCTGGACTCAGCCCAGGTTGCCCTGACCCCAAAGCTTATGCTCTTTGCATTACTTGGTTCCAAAAGCAAGATCTAACAGATTTTATATACCCCAAACTCAGAGCATGACCATTTTAACAAGCCCTGCAGCATTCGCCACACACCTTCGGAAAGCTTCCGCTTCCTTTTTCCCATGTTTGTCTCTTCCTTGTTCGCATCTCCATTCACTCCACACTCGCCCTTGCTCCTGGGCCCCTGCCTCTTGTTCCCTGCGGGGCCCGTGGCCTCGGGGGCACCCACCCCTCCCGCCTCCTGCTCGGCCTCAGGCCTCATTTTGCGCTTTTTAGACTTCTGACTCTTGGTTTTCTCTTGGTGGTTTTCCAGTTTTAGTTCTTTCTTTTCTTTTTTCCTTTTCTTCTGCCGCTCTTCCTTCCTCTCTCTCTTGTTCTTCTTTGTCTCTGCTTGTCCTTGTGTGGTGTCATTGGCTTTGGAAGGTGCCACCGTGGTGGTCATTTCCGCAGGTGGCTTTGCCACTTGGTTGAGTGGCTTTTGCTCTTGCCCTTTACTGGCTGGTTCCTTTTTATGAAGCAAAACAAGAAACACGTAAGTATTCGTTCCACACACCCCTGTTCACAACCTACATGTATCTACTGAACACTGTTCCAAGGAAAGTGTCTTTCTTACTTACCATTTTAGAACTGTGACCCCCCACAGTTAAAATATAGTAAATACACAAAATGAGAAGAACTCCCCCAGCCCACAACCCCTCTGCATTTTTAAAACATTTTATTTATATATTTTTTAAAATATTTTTATTGATTTCAGAGGAAGGGAGAGTGAGAGATAGAAACATCAATGGTGAGAGAGAATCATTAATCGGCTGCCCCCTGCGCGCCCCCTACTAGAGGCCAAGTCTGCACCCCGGGCATGTGCCCTTGACCGGAATCAAACCCGGGTTCCTTCGGTATACAGCCAATGCTCCATCCACTGAGCCAAACCAGCTGGGGCCCCCTCTCTGCATTTAACAGGCATTTCGTCCCACTGGAAAAGGAAAGAATCCTTAAATCACTTCCGCCAGACCTTTAATTATGGCTCACAATTCACCTTTCTTTCCCATGAAGGTGAGCGCTCACATGGGGCAGAAACTAGGTTTAGGTACCTGCAGGCCTGGGTTCAAGTTCCAGCTCTGTCAATTACCAGGTGACTCAGGGCAAGTTATTTACCTGCTCCAGACCCGTCTCCTCATCTGTACAATGAAAGGCAGGAACCCTTCCTCACACTGTTCACGTACAAATAAAATAAGAAATGTCATGCGCTCAGTGCAGGGCATGCTCAGCGCACCAGCCAATGCACGAGAAAGGCTTTGTAAACGACCAGCGCTACACAGAGGCCTAATCGAACCGTCATTCGGACTAGGTGGGTCCCGAGAGGAAGTCAGGGACACCTGGGCAGTAAAGGATGGCGGCTAAGGAGTCACGAAAAACTAACTACATGCGCTGGGGTGGGGAGAACCTCGCACTCACTGCATCCCTTATTCAAATCAGCACATGGATCATATTTCATATTTTAATTTTTTTAAAATATATTTTATTGATTTTCCACAGAAAGGAAGGGAGAGAGATAGAGTTAGAAACATCGATGAGAGAGAAACATTGATCAGCTGCCTCCTGCACATCCCCCACTGGGGATATGCCCGCAACCAAGGCACATGCCCTTGACCAGAATTAAACCCGGGACCCTCCAGTCCGCAGGCCAATGCTCTATCCACTGAGCCAAACTGGTTTCGGCTATTTTAATTTTTTTTTAAAGCTTTTTATTGATTTCAGAGAGGAAGGGAGAGGGAGAGATAGAAACATCAATGATGAGAGAGAATCATTGATCAGCTGCCTCCTGCACACCCCACACTGGAGATCAAGCCTACAACCTGGGCATGTGCCCTGACCGGGAATCAAACCCGGGACCCTTCAGTCCGCAGGCTGACGCTCTAGCCACTGAGCCCAACCGGCTAGGGCTGGATCCTATTTTTTAAAATAACGTCAGCACAGCTAGTTCCACTGCCTGCCGCACTCCGTGACTCGAAATGTGCGGAAATCTCCACACCAGCCCTGCCCACGAGCTGGCGCAGAGCTACCTACTGAACGGCCGCGGCCCTAAGGTGCCTGTCAGGCAGGGAGAGGGCCAGTGGCAGCAGCTCCGGGAAATCCGGAGACTTATGAGTCCGCAGACCGGACCCAAGTTCCATCGGTGAGTTACCAGCCAGTTTACTTGACAAGTCACCTCCAGTCTTCACCCTCCGGAGTCTAGGTCACAAGAACGGAGCTACTGTCCCCCAAGACAGACCAAATAAAGGACTGGCTTTAACTCAAGTACAATACAAAGTCATGCCTCCCTCTGACACCCATGCTCACCCTCTGGCAGAAGAGTGGTAACTAAATCGGGGTTTTCTCGGTAGCAGTTCAGAGAAAGAAAGTCGTCCAGGCACACGGAGTGGGGGGCAAGGAGCAGAGAATGAGTTCAGGTACAGACTCAGGAGGAAGGGGGCAAAGAAGCTTCCTTCCTGCCCTGTAACTGTGTGTTCATACTGCGTATCGGTTATTATCATCATCACCAAGGGCCCCAGATCTCAGCCCGCCATCTGCCCAGTTCAGACCAAGTCTCTAGCTGGTGCTTTGCCCCCACACCCCAACCCACAGAGGGAAGAGGGGGGAGGCAGGAGGCACACAGCCACCCGCCTGCAGCCACACAACAGTGACTGGTCAATCCATTCCCCATCTTCTCTCTCCTTCATTCCAGGCTCTCCTCCAGTGTGGTCTCCTCAGCACCACCTCACTGACTCTTACCTGACAGAGCACCCTGCTTTGCTCTCTGCCCCTCTTCCTGTCTTCTATTTCTTCCTAGTGCTTTTCACAACCTGGTGTTATAGCAAAACCCCACACATATAGTTGTCTGTCTCCCCCACAAGAACACAGCTGCATGAGGGCAGGAATGATTACAGCTGTATCCAGTGACTGGTGTGCATTGTGCTGGGTATAAAAAGTATCATGTAGAAGAGAAAGCCGCCAACCTAATGCCCAGCACAGAGTAAAGGGAGTGATAAAATTGCAGGCATGAATGAATAGGGCCTCAGGACCGCTCACTTTGCACCAAACACTGGCATGTGTGGTGAAGTTCACGGAACACAGGCAAACCAATAATAAGCTTTTTACCAGGTTACCACGAGCTGTTTACTGACTATTAATTCCTAATATGTTCACAGCTTCAAAAGAACTTTTTAAAAACTACAATTGAACTAAGTCATTTCAAATCTTTGATTCTTAGTAAAAGTAATGGCAATAACCTTTAAAAAATAGGTGCCACATACAGGCCAATTCAGTGATTGGTCATAAGGTTTCAAAGGCCCAATTTGTGTATTTTGAGGCAAATGCTAGATATACTACCAAGATAAACTTTCATTTTTATCTCAGTTTGCTGCCTAAACTATTCTCTCTATAGAAAGCGAATCAACTCCTTACAATGTGACCAAAAGAAAAGACCAGCCAGACTATTGTTTTTTAAACTACTGATGAGCTCACTCCAGCAGCACATATACTAAGCTTGGAACAATACAGAGATTGGCATGGCCCCTGCACAAGGAGGACACGCAAATTCATGAAGCGTTCCATACTTACCAAAACTATTAAAGATATAACTCTCTGAGTGGGATGTAAGCTCCAAAAAATTCTCCCTCCACTGGAAGGGAAGAGACGGTGCTTACCGAGTGCCCGCTGAAAGGTGGGCACAGGTGGGTGCTTTTGTAGTCTCATCTACTTTAAAACCACAGCAGGTAAGGGCCCTGGTGACCCCTCTCCCCTTACCTAGAAGACCACCTAGGCACTCGGTCCTCACCTGCTTATCTTCCTGCACAGCACTATCGCCACCTGAGCTAGTTCAGTTTTGTTCATGGCCTGGCACAGATCAGGCACTCATAAGTACTGAATAAATGAATGAATGAATGAATGAATGAATATGATCCACTTTTTAAAGAAAAGGAAACTGAGGCTCACAAGACAAGTAACGTGCCCAAGAACAAAAATATGGCAGAGAGCAGCAGGGATTCAATCCAGGTCTGCCAGACACCCAGAGCTCCTGTTCTTCCGGATACGTCCACTGCCTGCTTTCTAAGCAAACCGTTCCAGGTTAGCTGCTACCATTGTCAAACATGGGGATGAAATATCTTTCCGTGCACAATAAGGAACTCTTCTCTGCAAGGCATTGAGTTATTCCTTCCCATAAATGAAGGCCCAAGAGGCTCTCTGAAAAAGAAGGCTGTCTTGACCTCCAAAAATAAGACATTCCCACCGCATTATTAGTAAGCATGTCTGCCACGCGACAAATCTAAAATTAGGTCTGACTTACATTGCTGGAAGCTTCAGAAAAGATATTCCACACCTGCTCCAGAATCAATTCATTATGAACTTTTAAACTGTTCTTCATCCAGTTCTATAAGGAAAAAAAGGGGGGGGGGAGAATCCCATTGGACAGGTAAACACAGCTGTCCCTGATGGGCCCATATCCCCAGTCAGGGAAGCCATATCAAATACATACCTGAAATTTTGCCTTTTTCCTGGGAATGTTGTCAAACCCACTAATTTGCTCTAAAAGTTCTCTCACTTTGGGGCTGACATTGGGTCTTTTTATTAATTCATTAACTTTCTACAAAAAAGAAAGACAAAACAAAGATAATAAATAACTGACATACGTTTCATGTAGCCAGGGCTACAGAATCCACATGTCAAGTCCCAATTTTGTATTAATGTCTATTCTTTTTTTTTTTTTTTTTAAATATATATTTTATTGATTTTTTTACAGAGAGGAAGGGAGAGAGATAGAGAGTTAGAAACATCGATGAGAGAGAAACATCGACCAGCTGCCTCCTGCACATCTCCCACTGGGGATGTGCCCGCAACCCAGGTACATGCCCTTGACCGGAATCGAACCCGGGACCCCTCAGTCCGCAGGCCGACGCTCCATCCACTGAGCCAAACCGGTTTCGGCTAATGTCTATTCTTATAAATTCAATATAGCATTGGAAGTCCTGGCCAGAGCAAGTAGGCAAGAAGACGAAATAAAAGGCATCCTAGTTGGAAAGCAGTAAAATTATCTCTGTTCTCAGCCAACATGGTCTTACATGTGGAACACCCTACAGATTCTTCAAAAAGCACCTTTGGAACCAATAAACAAATTCAGCAGAACTGCACTCAAATATCAAGTTGCATTTCTACAAACAGACAATCTGAAAAGGAAGCTAAGAACTTAAACAAGGAATGTATGTAATACTTACCGAGTTAAAACTACAAAACACTGCTGAAAGAAAGAAGACACAAACAAATGGAACGGTTCATGGGCTGGAAGCCTTAGTAAGATGTCAACACGACCCTTAGTCTAGCTCAGACATGCTGCTTCTGGGTCTTGTCGGCATGGGTGAGGCATTTATTCTTCGTTTCTTAGGCTTCCAAAGAAAAGTGGAAGGCGTCAGCTGAGACTACTGGACGACTCGGAACGTACCTGCACCCACGCCTGCTGTTTGATATCGCCTTTGTGGGCTTTCCCTTCGTAACCTTTGCCGCCGTACTTCTGGTCTTCGCTTATGCATTTCACATGGTTTTTGTAGTCCTCGCCCCTGTGAGGTGACAGAGGTCCCACCGTTAGGTGCATTCTCAGTGGCGGCTGCGTGATGTCAGCACGCTGCTCCTGCCTTTGGCAGTCCACGCCAGCCCACTGCGCACACCTCCACCTACTTCACTTACTGTGCTCACATCCTGCTGCAGAAACACATTTCCCAGCTCCACACTGTTCAATAGGAAACCCACCACCAAACTTTCCATACATGTTTTAAACAACAGGAATATTGAATCATACTGTTGTACAACTGAAACTAATTTAATGTTGTATGTCAACTAGAGGCCTGTTGCACGAAGAGATTCGTGCAATAAGCCTTCCCTTCTCCTGGCTGCCAGCACTGGTTTTCCTCCGGCACCCGGGACCCAGGCCTTCGCTCCGGCTGGAGCCGCCTTCCGTCTTCCATCTTTGCTCCGCTGCTTGGAGCCTACATATGCAAATTAACCGCCATCTTTGTTGGCGGTTAATTTGCATATCGTGCTGATTATCCAATGGGAGGCGTAGCGAAGGTATGGTCAATTACCCTGTTTGTCTATTATTAGATAGGATTATATTTCAATAAATATGAACTAGACCACCAACTTACACCATACACAAGAATAAACTCAAAATGGATAAAGGACTTAAATGTACGACAGGAAACCATAAAAATTCTAGAAGAATACAAAGGCAACAAAATCTCAGACATATGCCAAAACAATTTCTTCACTGATACAGCTCCTAGAGCAGTTGAAACTAAAGAGAAAATGAACAAATGGGACTACATCAAAATAAAAAGCTTCTGCACAGCAAAAGAAATCATCAACAAAACAACAAGAAAACCCACCTCGTGGGAAAACATATTTGCCAACGTCATATCTGATAAGGGCTTAATCTCCAAAATTTATAGGGAACTCATACAACTTAACAAAAAGAAGATAAACAATCCAATCAAAAAATGGGCAAAGGATCTACATAGACACCTTTCAAAAGAGGACATTCAGAAAGCCAAGAGACATATGAAAACATGCTCAAAGTCACTAATCATCCGAGAGATGCAAATCAAAACAACAATGAGGTACCATCTCACACCTGTCAGAATGGCCATCATCAACAAATCAACAAACGACAAGTGCTGGAGAGGATGCGGAGAAAAAGGAACACTTGTGCACTGCTGGTGGGAATGCAGACTGGTGCAACCACTATGGAAGGCAGTATGGAGGTTCCTCAAAAAATTGGAAATGGAACTCCCATTTGACCCTGTGATCCCACTTCTAGGAATATATCCCAAGAAACCAGAAACACCAATCAGAAAGGATATATGCACCCAGATGTTCATAGCAGCACAATTCACCATAGCTAAGATCTGGAAACAGCCTAAGTGCCCATCAGTAGATGAATGGATTAGAAAACTGTGGTACATCTACACGATGGAATACTATGCTGCTGTTAAAAAGAAGGAACTCTTACCATTTGCAACAGCATGGATGGAACTGGAGAGCATTATGCTAAGTGAAACAAGCCAGTCAATGAAGGAAAAATACCACATGATCTCATTCTTTCATGGATAATTAAGACCATTACAAACTTTCGAACAATAATAAATACGGTGGCAGAGCTGCCTCAAACTGATTGTCGAACTGCAGTGGGAAGGCCAGGGAGGGTTGGGGGACAGGAGGGAGGGGAGTAAGAGATCAACCGAAGGACTTGTATGCATCCATATAACCATAACTAATGGACATAAGACACTGGGGGGTAAGGGAGGGCAGGGGCTTGTCAAGGGTGGGGGGGGGGGGAAGGACACTTATGTAATACCCTTTGTAATACTTATAGCGAAAAATAAAAATAAAAAAAATATATATATTTTTATTGATTTCAGAGAGGAAGGGAGAGGGAGGGAGAGATAGAAACATCAATGATGAGAGAGAATCATTGTTTGGCTGCCTCCTGCACGCCCCCTACTGGGGATCGAACCCGCAACCCGGGCATGTGCCCTTGATCGGAATGGAACCTGGGACCATTCAGTCCACAGGCTGACGCTCTATCCACTGAGCAACACCAGCTTAGGCATGCTTCTATTTTTTAAAGCTTTGTGGAAACAGTGCTTCCAACACTGGCCTGGGCCTTTACTATGGATACAGGAGTTACTCGGAACTTACCAGAAATCTTTACCGCAGTCAATGCAGGAAAGGCACTCGCAGTTCCTGCAGACAGCCACATGCTTTTCCACCTGTATTTTCTTCACTGATTCACCACATGCATTGCATGTAAAAAATACCATTTTTAGCTAAATGATGAAATATTCTCTATCCAAGATAGGCTTTAAATCTTGTCCTAAAAAGATTAAAAGGAAAGGGGAAAAAAGGTAATTATCATTATAATCTGAACTTTTATTCCCAATAAATGATCATACAGCTAACTTTTCAACCATAATTTCACATGAAAATAACTACAAATAACAAATCAAAGTTGATTAACAATCTATATATAACTCTACCACCATGTAAGCAAAATTATAATTAACAGTGATACTAACAGCTAAGATGAGTGCATGCACACCATGTGCTGGGCCCTCTAAGAGCTTTGCACATATTAACTTATTTAATCCTCACAGCACCCCTGTGAGGGAAAAACTATTGTTCACACTTTACATGAGGTATTGAAACAGAGAGATTAAGTAACTTGCCCAAGGTCACACAGCAGTAGAATCAGGATTTAAACTTGGCAGCTGTCTCTAAGGATGAAGTTTTGGGGGCATTAAGTAAAATATCTTACATTTTCTAGTAACTTTCTTTCTCTCTCCCTCCATCCCTCCTTCCCTTTCTCACACTTAGGTGTGCACTGCAAATTATCTCAGGTCCCCAAATCCAGGAAGAGCAGAATGAGGGGAGGGGAGGGAGCTTTACAGAGCAGAGAAGACGCCTACAAATGATTTCTACAGGGCACACAAACATTCCCGTCGGCACTGCTATGCATCCTCAGTGTTAATACAGGAGGGTGTGCCCTCAGGCTGAGGGGGGGGGGGGGCTCC